TGATTTCTAAGTGAACAATTCGAAAATTCAATTTGAAATGCTCGGTCATAACAAGGGCAAACATTCGTTTAAATAATTTAAACCAAGGTATTAATTTTGCGATTGAAAAAATTTGTTAGCACGATTGACACTTATACATTGACTCAAATTCTTGTATTCCAGAAACAAATCATTCCGGCACTAACATCATGAAGCTAGCATTCTTTAATGAACAGACTGTCAAATTTCATTTAAACAACGATGCCTAAATGATCAAGAAAATTTAAAAAACTTTTCAGTTCAAAGTATTTACCTTGCATCTAGACAGTTAAGCAAAGTCAGTGCAACGACTAATTTGGAAATAACCTGGGAGATTAGACGTACTTATTTATTTAGTCGCTGACTCATTAAACGTGAAACTCGCGTCTTCCTGATTATTGGCAGTGTACGTTGCAGAAGTGGGATATTCCTCCGGTTCAAAATATGTTTATATAACTTGTTGATTTTGTCATCGACAGTATTCCATGAGCCAGAGGTACAGCATATAAATAGCCTTTTTGAAGCCTAGGAAAATATTTAAATGGAACTTGCAGAACCCATAACGATATTCGTTCTTCAGCACTAAATTTATATGTACAGAGGAGTCAAGGATAACAGGAAAGCAGATAAATAATCTAAGCATAGTAGCGAAGAACTACAAATAGATATAAAAAATAAAACGCACAAGAAATTGTAAATGAATGTTTAAAACGAAGAGATACATGAAGAAGAAATGAATGAGAAAAACGATGGAGAATAAACAGTGGCAACAGAGAGATCAGACTCATAAAGGATATCAGATTGCAACTGCCGATCCGTAAGTACCGTTAAAATCCAAAATCTTTAATGCATATTTAAAGAAAAAGGTTACGATCACAATATTTTTCACCCATCTCCCCCTTTATATCTGATTAAAGTGAGATACAACATTTCTGTAGGAAAGGCATTAGAATTCGCAACATCTCTTATGGTGAACACTTTGCAACAGACGACTTGCTTAAAAGCTTGGCCGTTTACGAAACGGACTGTAAAGGTTTTCAAAAATAGTGTAAAGGAACGATGGCAGCTTTCGAGCATTTATAAGAAAAGGCATGGTTGCAATGAATTATGCTGCTGACGACTTGTACAGAACTGACAGAAAGCATGCAAAAATGTTAAATCGTGAAAACACAACTGCCGCCCTGGTCAAAGTCAAAACATTTGGTGCAACCTCTTCAACGAGGAATTATACAAACAGCTTATCATCTAATTGAAACAGTTTATTTTATACTTCATGGGCATTTTACAGACAGCTGACTGTGTTCCGTCATCAGAAAATAACGCTTTTGCTCACTCACTATCTAGGTGTAGCCCCTGTAGGGGTTCCATAATAATAGTAATACGACAATTCCGAATAGAACAGATTCAGATTTGACAAGATATACCGCGTCTACATTTCTAACATTCTGTTTTCAGAGCATGTGGCTAATTTTTAAGTAGCACACCTCTGACTACCGTAATAATTCAAACGAATACTCATCACTATAACTGACAGATCTTGTTTACTGGCTTTGTAACAAACTTGCTCTCAGTAAAAATGCTTCTTTACCAAACATTGTTGTATGTCACGAAAGACACTGCTCACCGTCAAGTCATCTCATGGCAGTCAATCATTGCCTGCTACTTGGAAATGCTGCCAGATATTTTAGCTTTGGTAGGAAAGACAGCATAGCTTGTACATGAAGGAAAATAGAAGCACTTCCGAAACAGTCACAGGTACACTAATACCAGTGACCGACCGATTATGCATATGTTCATCATGCCAAAGAGGTAAATAAAGTAAGACAAAGTGGTAAATAGACATACATTCTTCTGTGCCTGGTTTTACCATTTTTACCCTCTGTTAGGTTATTCAATAAATCATCAACATGCTATAACGGCAGATTAGAATCTATTTAGCATAGCTGTACTTGAGAAAAGAGGAATAACATATTCTAGGTGATTTAGTGTACGGCGTGAAGGCTCATTTTTAGGACTGAACCTGTTCAGTGAAGACAGAATGTAAGTAAAAAATACACTGCTTAATGCAACTCAGAAGTCAAAGCATTTTATGCATATGACACTTCAGCAAACACAACCGCCAGCAGAGTGGATAAAAAAACAAGTAGACAATTATGATCCATGATAAAGTGAGCATTACCAAATAGCCAAACGATAAATATAGATAATGGCATTCTGCATTTCGTCATGCAAGTAGATCTGTCATGTCATCGAATGACCAACTACAACTGATTGCCTTAATGGCATCAGGTTTAAGAGAAACGTAGCCTCCTCCACAAGACTCGATACTTCGAGGCGAGAGAAGAAAGTCTGCCGAAGCTGGCATTCTGCGCCACTCAGTTTCAGTCGGTTAACGTGTCGGCTGAGGATGGTCTCGACGGCAAACAGGTTGACCAAGTCCGCAACTGTGCACTGCGCTTGGCTAAGCATCAATCGCAATGATGAAGCATGACGCAAAAGCTGTAGCTTCTGCAGGCAGTTCCAAATCGACTCGGCACGAAACAGTGTCAGCACCAACAAATTAGCAACGCAAGCCACAGACGGCCTCTGAAACAGCCATCACATTCTTCATAAAGAACAGCGAGAAAAAAATTCTGTAATATACCTCACAGGGGTCCCTTGCCAACACCCGGCGAACTAACATTCGAACGTGCCACGGTATCTCTGTGCCAAGTTCAGGAAGTTCCTCTTCCCTGTACGTCTCGCTGGAAAGCCCAACAGGCGGTAGTGCGTAAAATGGATTGATTGTGGTAAATATTTCATAAGCAATGGTGCCACTTGCCCACAGGTCTGCCTTTTCATAATTCAACACCGAGTTGCCATCAAGCTTTGCACAAGCAATCTACGTAACAACAGCTGCGTGACCAGCGCAAAGATATCACTGAATTGTTTGTCTACATATATTTTACAAATTAATAATAAAAGCAATTCCTTAATGGGCGATCTCCTAATTCTGTGGTCAGAGAAGTCAACAAGAATAGAAAATCAAACTTAGAAACAGACTAGCTTTGGGCAGTGTCGACAATGATATCATTAGGCGTATAACAGCCGCTCCACTAGTTTGACTGTCGCATAATTGATATGCAGGATGTAAGAAATGAAAGTCAGTAACTCGTTAAGTTAGTAACCTGCGATGCCGAGTTTGAGTTTCATGTGCGGCGTGAATTTTTCTTATTAAGACTGCCATAATTAGTTCAAGCAATGCATCCATCCCACGGTGCTTTGGTGCAATCAATCGAGAAATGAACTACAGGAACATGATAGGGTTATGCTGCAGTCATTTTGGTACAAGACTTATGGCTACGCCGTTTGACGCGTGCGCCTTCCTGTTCTAATTTGTCTTTACCTACCTGATAGCTAAAAATCACTGAAGTGCAAAGTGAAAAATATCTTGCCGTGAAATCTGAACATTTCCAATTAATGTTGCTAGCTAAATGCAGTCACATGATAGAAAAGCATGAACAACTGCAGGCGTATAGTTAAAATTATGATAACCATGTTATACAAGAAGGCATAAAAGGAACCAGCCGTAAAGAATTTAATCTGGACAACAGTTGACAGCATCTCTTTACGTTCAAGAATAGCAGTTGGTGCACAATGGTATGAAAACTGAAAATGCAAACAGCAGCATTTGGAGTCACTCAGGATGGTAGTCTTTATTAATAGAAGAATTTAAAGCAATGATATAAACAACAGTCCTGTAAAATGATGAGCTTATTACAAGGCATCCATTCTGAAACAACCGAAGAAACTTTTATATCTCTACGCATTAGACAGCGCGATGCTTCCATGCATGCAAAAACGCAAATTTAGTGAGATCAATATGGAATTTAACCGTAAACAAATAAATAAATAATCACCTCATATAATAATACACCAAATATAAATCAAAAATTGATTACCTCAGGCGCCCTGAGTGCAACATTGCCTCCAAGATCGACGTTTTCGCTTGTGCAACGTACAGTGAACGAACCGACAGACAAACAACTTCCAAAGTCGCACAATACGAGGTGCGGAGGTTCCTGCTCGTTGTCGAAACTCACCAGAATGTTGTTGGACTTCAGGTCTCTATGTGCTACGCGACACTTCGAGAGGTACAACAATGACTCGAGCAGCTGTCCGTAAAGCACAACGCCAGCGAGTGGGTCAGGTTTGTAAAGAAGAAGATATTCTCGCAGAGTCATCCTATATCTGAAACAAGCGTGATAATTTACAAAAGCCTATACAACACGTGCTGATGTGTCACTGCCTTTTCATCACGATAAACAACGTCTCGTTATGACCGTAGCCTTCGTCGAACTGTAGTCGAGGCAACGCAGCCGGGTAAAGGGCTTCAGAGTCCGGAAACAAGGGAACCTGGTCGACAAATGCAGAGAACATCCTAACAATATTAGGATGAGGCCGCGGCAGCATCTTTTCTCTAGAACACACTACAGTTCAATCATCTATACAATAACAACCGATTCAAAATCATCATTCATACGACAGCAGGTTCATTCATTAATAATCGAGGTTTTAATGAATGAGACCGTTTATCTACAGTCAAATAAATCAACTAAATACACTATTAAAATCAAATCAGTTTAATAATGATCATTTATCCAAACCTGGATAAACAGAAGAGGTTTACCGTGTTTGGCTGTCTGTTTGTAGAGATCCTCACTGAGCCACCCTCAGAAGCAAAACGTCTCTGGTTTGTGATGTCCACTGAGTTGAAGCTTTTCAATGAGCTTGTTATAAGCCACGGATTGCTGTACCGCAGAAAGAAGAGTTCAATTTCAATAGCATATCTGCCTCTACATTATAAGGCAAATTTTATTTGAAACTTCACGCGGTATATATGTTTTTGGTGCAAGACCAAGGTTTTGACTTGTTACCAACCCTTCTCAACCGCAAGCAAAGAAAAGTGCTCTCCCTTCCGTACAACAACACTAACCTGATAGAGGCCAGGTACAGGCGGATTTTCGCGGTAAGAGTAATTCCTTTCTCATTCCAAATATTGAATATGTTTCCAAAGCACTCGAGACTGAAGCCATCCTCTTCTTTTACTCTGGCTGGACAGTGCCATCGTTGGAAATGATGGAGCCAATATACTTAAATTTTTCGCCCCCCCCCCCTGAAGCACTTCATGTCACAATTAAGATCAGCTGTGCCGGGCGCTTTCCGTATAACGTTAGACGTTCGGGCAATAAAAGGCTATTTATCACAGCTGTGCTGCATACGGAAGCCGTCAAACGATAAAACGTGATCCATATCATATAGAGTACAGGTGGAGTTTTCTGAGGTATAAATTTCCGACCATGCTGATGTGGAACTTATCAGAAACCTGATCAACAACGCATGATAATTTTCTGCGGTCTTTGTATTCACTAGGTGCTTCTACTATTGGTGATTACCTGAACTCTACACTGTTCGAGTTGGTGCTCATTTAAAGTATTAAATATTGTTCAATAATTCATCTATTACATACATTTGTCAGTCATGGCGACTAAGACGGGCATTTAGACAATCGGATGTTAATTTGACAGATAACAGAAGTGACGACGTTTTCATCGAAATGATTCCAGTTTTGGACCGCTCTTACGTTATAAGAGTTGCAACATAAGTTTGAAAGAACGATCAGTAAAATACTATTTGATTGCACTGCTAAACACCAGCCAGGAGAAAGACTTCGGACTGTATATTATCAGGGCCCCAACGGGCGGTGAACGTTAAGTAGCGTTATATGGAAATGCAGACATTAACATTACTACACTGCAAATATGTTACTTTCACAACAGCTGAGATCTCTTCCTTCATTATATCTCGATAGAAATCAGATGGAGCTGTTCACATGTTGCACATACTGCAGGAAGCCGTGAGCATGAGCGAAGGGGCAAGTGAAACAGCAATTAAATAAATAAAGCAGTAATTAAAAAGAAAGTAGCAAGTAAATGCAGAACGTTGAAAGTGGCAAACGCATAGCAGGAATTTTCAAAACTATAAAACCAAATTTTTAGTAATTATGCAGATGTTGTAATTTATTTTGCTTCAAGCGTCTTGTCTCTCATTTATAAAATATATCAGCAACAAGGATTCAGCTTCATTCATAACGCAAAAAGAACAGTGCAAAGTGAAAATTTTTTACACTACAGCCGAGTCCCATAAAGTTTTAGCATCGCCCTATCGCGTCCTCTACCTGATGTGAATGCTGGTGCTGCAGCAACAGGCAGGGACCAACTCCGGACCCATTTCGTAGAAAACGAAATCCCTCCGATTTGCCATGCCGTAGTTGAACATCATCTTAATGGCCAACGGGTAATCATCGATCTTAGACGACAATATATTCTTGCTTGGTCGGTTTCGAAATCTTCCTAAAGACACCCATGCATGTTGGATAAAAAAAAAGAAAAAAGACAATAAGGCAAATAAAATAATACGTATACAAGGAGCATCACTTAAGAGAAAATAATAAGATGACTTTTCCAACTTTAAGGTCAATTTATTTAAATGATCTGAAAGAAAATCTTAAATTCTAAATCATCTATTTTAAAGTGACAAGTTTAAGATAACAGAAAATATCGTTCGACGACAGAGTCAGAAGCATTCGGCCCAATAGGTATACATGCTTATGCAGAGTAGCCTCAATGATTCCAACTCTTTCATCCTCTGGGCCATGAGAAGACTGGCTCTGGCATATCTTTCAGTCGTTATGAAATCCAAACAATAAATACTTCTTTTTGGCGACAGACAAGAATTCAAATCCCGGAATGAAGTGGTCCATCTCAACTAACGGTCATTGTACCGTAACTTGGCTTTAGTTGATATATTCATGACTTTACCTTTTCTGATATTTATTGGTTAGTAAAACTGAGCAAATTTATGCATCTTCTGGTGATGCGCCTTCATACTTTCGTTACGTGCAGACAAGCACATACGATCGCTGGAGGGGCGTTTGATGGGCATATTCTTGTCTCCTATTTGACCGGCATACTTATCTGGTCGTTTTCTGGGGCGCGCTCCATCTTTACTAAAGGTTTCATCACTTCCTGGGATCTGTGCGGCAGTAAGAACATCCGGCTGTTTGCATGGGTTGCACCTTCTTCCTGTCTTCTGCGCGGGTATATCCGACTGCTGTGACTAGTTACAGCCGGTCATCGCTATTGCTGCAACATATATGTTCACAGCGATTTAAGTGTGTGGCAAGGATAACAATAGCTAATAATGGATGAATGAACAATGATAATGTGACTTTGAATGATAACGCAGCTAAGAAAATTTGGTAGACCTTTTCTCGCAAGTTCACTCAGTTGGAATACCACAGACAACAAATACTAAGATAAAATCAGTCGATTCTCAAATGTTGTCGGTTGAGGTCAACGGATGTAACTATTCGTATGTCACTGAAATTTAAATGGACTGGAAGAAGCGCAGTGAAAGAACTAAAGAAAAACGTAACAAATCAAGGCAAAAACGAAACAGAAGTGATACTCAGGTAAGTCTAATCAAGTCTCTAGGTCGTTAGGGTGCATATTACAGATTCAAACATTCGTCCATTGTTGAGGAAGACGCTGTTCACTGAAATTTGACAAATGTAGAACCACTTACGACTGCTAAGTAAAGGAATGACCTCAAAAGTAATGATCTGTACTTGAAAGAATTTGACATTAGAATTCTGAAAACTTCGAAGCGAAAAGGGGAAAATGGTTGTGGTATAAGAGTTAGAGGAAACTGTGTAAGCCAGGCTCCAAGTTTCCAGTCACTGGCGCGAATATCAGGTCAACATTGTGCGGATTCAGTTGCGCCAGGAACCAATCCATGGATTTCGTTCTTTTTCTTTCTTGACTACTCCAAGTACGTTGGAAACTTTGCTTTTGAACGTCACATTTAAGAGCCCGGGAAACACTAGGCCTGAAAGTAATGGAGACTAAAGATGAACTGCTGCTACAATTTTTGTTGAGGCCATATATGGGACGAAAAAGATTTGAGCTAAGAGAGGAAATGGGGTATATATTTGTGCGAAACATCGTATTCAAGAAAAGCAACTCCTCAGTTAGAGTGAAGAGGTCAGGAGAGTGGCCTTGAGACTTAATCTCATACCTGGGGTATTCCAGAAAAAAATGCAGTTGTTTGTTTGAGTCCCTGAGAAATCAAACCCCGCCTGGTTGAACTTTACTTTTTACTCAGATTTACTTTTATTTACGCTGAAAAACATGATTTTTTTTGAAGATTCCGTTCAGGCCAAGCCCGAGGAAGGAGGAAGATTGGAGATCGCGGTGAAGTCTCTGCGAAATTTAGCGACCTG